AAAGTACAAATTTTTCATATAATGAACTAGTTCATAGTTTTTCTCTTTTTACTTGTAATATAAACATTTCTAAAATAAATATACTTTTGCACCTACTTTGCAATACCTTTTTTTTGCCTTTTCCTGCCTTTTTCGCTATTTTATTTTGCCTTTTCCAGCCTATTTCGTTACTTTATTTTGCCTTTTTTATAGGTTTTTAGGTCCTAAAAATCCGTTCCCTGGTAATTACTATAGATATACATGATTCATTAAAACAAATGTTAAGTGTAGCGTTAAAAAACATAATTTCAAAATAGGCTAAACTTAAATTATATTCGCCCACTCATCCGCCGGCAGTGTATTTATAAAGAAAATTTTTAACAGCAAACATATTAATCGCTTGTTTTTGCTCTAAGAGCCTTTCCATAATGGTAAAGGAACTATTCCATCTAGTTGGATTATCTTGTATTTATTTATGTGTCGGGAAATGTAATAATTCCTGAAAGGATTTAAATATCTGCTGGCTGATTCACTTCTATGAAAATGGCCCAGTATTTTTTATTTCTGTAAGAATTCATAACAATTATAGAGATGCGAAACAACCACAAAATTTTAACAACTGTCGTGGAATAATGTAACTTCCCGGCAAATACAACACCTTGTGAATTGCCTAATTGTTCGGCATTTTCAGTCGAAGGCCGAAGCCAAAGATAAAAAACCAGCTGAATAATCCGAAAACCGAAGCCAGGCCGAACCTTCGGTCGGACACTAGTATATAGATAATAAACTGTGTAATACTAACTAACAAACATGCCCTGCATTAAATGAGGTTGTATGCACACTATCGCAGGACGAACCCTTTGTGAAGTACTATAGAGCCGTGATTTATTACTAAAATTACATCAAATACTTTTATTACATATGTATGTAAACAGTGTTGCTGCTTCCTTCGCCTTTAAATGTGTATCTGCAACGATTCGCCCAGGCCCGGATTTTTCGTAAATTAAGTTCGGAAATAAATATGTTTTGCCAAGTTCAATGATTTGATTACAATTTTTTTTTTTTTTTTGGTAGAGAAGGCTCGGGCCCGGATTATCTATTCGAAGCCCTGTGGAGGGCTTATATTCAATATCCTTTATATGCAATTTTCAAAAATTAGCTTCTGATCCACCTAAGACTTAGCTGTCATCGACTGATTAGTCACTTGTAAAAAAGTCGAAATATTTTGCAACTAAAGCCTCAATAGTCATTTCTATGTAGTTGCAAAGTGAACTAGTCACTGGGGCTAGACTGTTGACACTATCATAACCTTTACCGTTTTTTAAATACGAGTATGTACATATTTACAAATGTAAGCTTGTAAATATTAGATTGATGAAAAAGTAGAAAACACGCGAATAAGTAAGGAAAGCACTTGCGTTATCTATAACCTAAATTGCCTTGCGTGCTCAGGCTCATTTAATGCGTGCAAACATACATTCTGATGCACAAATTTACTTTAAATATTGACAATGAATTTACATACATACATACATGTGTATGTGCCAAGGTTTGCACAACCACATCCAATATACTGTACCCTCTAGTCGTTTTATTCTTATTTAATTATTGTTTATGTCGACAGTCCCCGAAATTTTGTGTGATAGGTTGAGAAGTGGTGAGGTTTCCTTAAATAAGGACATGAGAACGTCAGTAGAGAAAATATCTAGCGAGAAAATGTTTACCATTTCATCCTACTTACAAAAATTGTTAAGCATATTACGATCGGTCTAATAGAGGTGCCTACAAATTTACACTCTATCCTCTGCACCATGGCGGCCGTCTTTGTTGAGTACAAGCAAACGAAAGTAAAATTGTAAAAAGGAAGAAATAAACCCTGCCTATGACCCCATGTGAAAATTCTTACAACTTACCTGACCTCTTAGCTGCAGGTAAGCTATTGGTTAGGTAAGTAATTATGTTATAAGCATAAGAATGTCTAGTAACATAGTTGAAAGTGGAATTGTCTGCATTCACCGTGTAAACAGACCAAAAGTAGTATCGAGAGTTTGATTTTCAGAAATAAAAAATGCTTTCGAAAGCCACTTTAAATGCAAGGTGTAACTGCTCCTGCAATCTCTTTTGGAAATTCTTGAGTTTGACAGACTTTTGAAAAGGACTTGGACTTGCCACGTCAAGCAGTACTTTACCGTTGATTTTTTGAAGTTTTTGTTTTGCGCACTATCTTCCATACAAAGCTTGTTCGAAAACTTTTTTGTATGGAGAAAATGAGCAACACCTTCCACAAAAAACATGCCAAACCTCAAAGGTAAGTGCTAGCTACCTAAAACTTCCACTTTATTATAATAAAAATTGAATTGGCTACAAAACTGCATACTCAGCTCAAAATTTTGGTGAATATTTGTAGAATTTTCCCAATTTTTGTACAAAGTTTGATGTTTCGACTTATGTATATAACGGTACATAACGAGCAACACTTTCATAAAAAAAATAAACATCAAATAAACGAAAGAAAAACAGCCAAAGAATGCGTCCTTCCTATTTATTTATATAACATGAAACCTATTTATATTTTCGCCACGGTATATCATTCAAAAGGTCTAATATCTGAAATTGCAGATTTTAACAGTTTGTAATGTATTTTTAGTTCATTGTCTAGTTTATATAAGTATGTGCATTAGACCGTTCGTTATTTCAACATTTTTTTTAATATACAGTTTAACGGACGGAAGATGTCTTGGCCTAAAAATAAGCTGTGCAAAATTTTATTCGAATATGAATACTTGCGCATTGCATTTGAAAATTTAGAAAACCATATGTATTCGGGGAAAATAGTTTTTAACAAAATAGTTGAAAATCGTGAATTTTATAGTAATTTGCTATGTAAAATAACTCACTGAATCTGAATATGAGGTCAAAAATAAAAAACTAGAATAGGTTTTAACAATCCGTGAAGTTATCGTTTTTTTTTCAAATTGAGAAACAATTTTAAATTTTTCCCAAAAATATCCGGGTCTGATTCTCACATCGCAAAAAGCTCTCCACCAGATTAAATGTCTTCGAACCCTATGAACTTGCTATACAATGTTTTGCAATCAAATTATCAGTTTAAGAGTTATCTGCAAATTTATGGGTGAAATCGGACACAATTTTGAGGCGCATCGATATTCTACTGTGAAAGCTGCAAATTGTTTGTTCTTATTTTTAAGCTATATTAAAGCTTATTTAATCTCAAAGTATGTAGGTCCAAATCAATTTTAGTAAACGATATTGGATTCAAGCAAGTTTTCATGATTACAATTACTGTAATTGTAATCTTAAAATTTTTAAGATCTCAATAACAGTATTCTTAATCGTGTATTTCATGATTACGATTACAGTAATCTGAGTCCTTAAATTTTTAAGATTACAATTATTATGATCGTAATGGTAACGTTTATGATTACGATTAAAGTAATCGTATATAAATTTAGGATTACAATTAAGCAATCGTAATTGAAATGTAATCGAAATCTTAAATTTCCCAGCTCTGATACATATAGATGAGTCTGATTGAGCAGGTATGAAAGGTAAGATGACGCAAGTGAACGAGCATTTCAATGTCATTCATTTCAAAAAGTTGAATTTTTTCTGCAGCGAAATCCGTTTGAACAACAATGAAAACGCCCCACCCATTATGTCCAAACGATCTTTTCTAAAGATTTCATAAATATTACACGAATTTTCCGAATTGAGTAAAGTTGGTTTTAGCCATGTTTCAGTAAAAGCCAAGACATTGTAATCACAGTCAAGACTACCTAAGAATACATTTTCTTTCCGGCTTCGTGTTGGTAACAAATGTCGAGGTCTAATCATTAACTAGTCAGAAAGAAGTTCCAAAAGGGATTCAATGTGTATATTTACATAGTATGTACTGGCGCACGTACATATGTATGAATGTATGTGTATACATATACTAAACGTACATATGTATGTATGTATGTATGTGTATACATATGCTAAACGTATATATGTAAATGCATACATACAACAAAATGTATTGAATAATTTTGTTTTGCGCATGCAATTTGTAGGATCCCTGAAAAGGGAATTGTTACAAGAAGTTAATTACTTAACCCTTAAATGCATATTGTTGCAAAACTGCAACATACCATTCAAATGTATATTCCAATAAGAATATTGTATCAATGTATGATGCTGTATGTAAATAAATCATAAACTGCAAGATATATGCATTTTGCAATATGGCAGCACTTTTTTTATTTATTAAAATTTGCTGATGGATATATCATTATTTAATTTTAAGCCTTGGTTTATTTTCTTACGAAAATTGCATTTTCTTACGAAAGTGTATACAAAATTTCCATTCATTACCTGTACATGTATAATTCAATGTTAAAAAAATTAAACTTTGCTTTATACATGTGGTATTTGCTAAAATTGTGTTTATGTGAATATTGTAAATCTACAACCCTATGCAAATTCAAGAAAACAGGCTGTTGTATATCTGCAACACCATGCATTTATGGGTGGAAAACTTAGTGTTGAAAACAGGATTGTGTTAAAGCTTCAAGCAAAGAAGAGGCGAGGACCAGTACAAGTACGTTAAAGAATCTGCCAACAGATAATGTTGGGCATTGACTCGAAATTAGTCCTCGTGGAAGATACAATTGGCTGTGAAAATTGTGGACTCTCGTTTTGCTTCAATAAGACACACAATTGCTCTAAAAAATTGCTGTCATAAATTCATGCTGCTGCAGATATGCAACAGCTCATTTTTTTAAATAAACTCATAAAAATAAAAATTTGGTGGTTTTTGTTTCCATTTTCTGAAATTGTATGGGTGTAGATTCCATATAAATTTTTTTCAGATAGAAAAAAAATCATGCATTTAAGGGTTAAACAAATATTTGTTTATACGCTTTTTGATACAATTAAGTTCTTTATGAAACCGTTGTCACATTTAACGGGTAATCAAAACAAATTCGAAAGTTTCATTTAGTTGACAAGTGGGAGGAGAAAAACAACTTGGCAAAATACTTCAAGCAATAACAGGCAGACAAATCATCAATTTAGAAGGCTCACTGCGCTATTTGAAATTAATGGTTGTTTATTAAAGTTGTCATCGCGTTATGTAATTCCGTATGCATGGCGAAGCTTAATCGGCGAAATCCGTAAATGGTGCATCAATTCCCTGGTTCACGATTGCCACCATCTCGGTGATTTTGAACTAGTCTGACGGAACTGCATCATATTTGCCATAGAAAAATGTTGATTTATTGCCTGTAGTAATTAACCGATTCATTTATAGAAATCGGACATCAAATAAAAAGCTATAGAAAATAACTGTTTTTATAGGGTGCCGGAAAAGTGTACACTCCTGAACAAATTGAACCTTTTTGGCCCATACCTCGTGATACGCTCTAGAATGCATGTACAATGTACATACATATACAAAAAATTTTACTCCAATCGGTTGGGAAATGCAACTTATCTAGTACGAGTTATCCCACTGGGTATTTATTGTCTTCTTTTATGGATATGTACATTTGCATATACACATGTATGTATATAAGTATGTTTCGTTTAATGCATTGAGACTGTCAAAGTTTTCGTGGTAAAGTTATTCATTCACTGGAAATTGTTTTTATTATTTCATTAAGCAGCCGGTGAAGCGGTTATCTTGAAAATTTCGCAAACAGTCGATCGTGGTTAATACAAAGGTAAAGACATGCCAAAAAATTTGGATACATATAATTAGTACAAAAATATTTGTATGTATATTAAAAATTCTTAATCGACGAATTACGAACTAAAATGCCACGAAAAAGATCCAAAGTTGACCCGTTTGAGGAGATGGAGACTAATATTAAGCTGCTTTGTGACCAGTCGCACAATCATATGAAGGTTCGAGAATATGGCAGAGCTTTAGCCGGTTATAATCAGGTAAATTGTAAAAGAGATTTCGAAAATATTATGATTTGGAAACTGTAAACGGCGCTGTTATTATAGCAGCTGTACTTTATCCACATATTAACTTTAAATGGGTCAAATGTTTGGATTCGTCGTTTTATACAGACAACGTTAAGGAAATTAATGATTTGGTAAAAAATATTTTATCTGAGGAATTCAACTCTAATATCTGCTCTATTCAATGCAAAACGCCATGCGAACCCAAGAAGGATAGAATACAAGACAGCGCCGCACAGTGTGCTTTTTTAACGCTCCATGCGAATTAATCGTTTCGACAGAAGCAATATTTTGTTATAAAACAAAATGGTTTTGGAATATAATTTTATTCCCTTTCACGGAAAAATACTGCCATCGACCCACAATTACTCCTTGACCATAAAAAGTTGGTCAAAAATGGATTTATTCAAAAAAAAACATGCAAAATCCGTCGGATTTGTTCCCAAAAAATTTTTTTTATGTTTTATTATACTAATATTAAAGATTTTGAGTCAAGAAATACGATTCCACTGTTTAAAAATCGAAAAAAATGTAACCTCTCAGTTTAAGAAATGCATTTTTAATTGCATTTTTTTACTTGCATGCAGCTGTGCATACTTCTCACAATTTTATATCACTCGACTAACAAGTAAGCTGTAGTACTATTGAAGAACTTTAATTTGAGCCAAGGTAGAAGTCTCTAGGCCCTTTGAGAGCCAAATTATAACGATTCTAAAGTTAAACTTCGGAATTTCATTCGACCTTTTTACATTTTTTTTTTCTAATTTCCGAGTAAAAACTCGTACAGCAGATTCGAAGTTTGATTTAAAATTATTATAACTTGGCTCTCAGAGGACCTAAAGATCTTGAATGGCACTACAGCGTACTTATTATTCGACATATAATTGCATGCAAATTAAAAAATTCAATCAAAAATATATTTCTTAAATTGAGGTGTTGAAATTATTTTTTTCGATTTTTAACCAGGGGAATCGTGTTTCTCGTCTCAAAATCTATAATATCAGTGTAACAAAATATACAAAATTTTTGTTTTGGAACAAATCCGGTGGATTTTGCATTTCTTTTTTTTTTTTGAAAAACCCTATTTTTCACCAATTCTTTTAAGGTCAAGGAGTAATTGTGGGTCAGTGGTAGTATTTTTCCGTGAAAGAGAATAACATTAGCTTTCAAAGCCATTTTGTTTCATAGCAAAATATTGGTTCTGTAGAAAGCACTACGATTAATTCGCATGGTGTTCAGAAAGCACACTGTGCGCCGTCCCGGCGGCGATGACAGCAGCTGATATGTACATATTACATAGTAAATACTAATTTATTCTTCAGGAAATATCTGGAATTCATTGACATTTTCTAAATAGTTTATATTTCTACTACTGAAGTTTTAATTAAGCGTTTTGTGTTTAGTTTGGTTTTTGTTCTTCAGACGCCACTATCCTATTTCTATGTAGAATTGCTCGGTGATTCCGAAAATCGGGCTAATTTTTTTTCTATGGATACGTTTTCGAGATATTTGCAATTTACCGTTATTCAGCTTAAAGCAAAAATTGGTTCCTTTTAATCATGTATATCTTGCGAACCAATTCATATGTACATCACTTTCCGATAGGACTTATAGTTTCAGAAAAATTAATTAATCTTTTTTTTATGAAAAAAATTTAAAAAATCACACGGAATTCATGACAGCGATCTCCGGCGGAATTGATGATAGGCCTGTCATTTTTAGCTTTTCTGCGGGGTGTATTTGAGAAAAAACAGTATGCTTACTTATTAAAAAACAAGTAAGAGCAGCGCTGTCTTCGGCTATGCACCAATCTAAGTGATTTTCACTGCTGTGTGATCGGTACGTAAATCGGTAACACAATTTAATGGGTTTAGCTTCCACATAAAGGATACACATATATCGCAAAAACTGGTATCTGAACAATCAGTGGTACAAGAGATTAAGATTATACAGCACAGATTTTGACGATTTTCTTAGTAGACTTTGTATTATTATTTTAATTTATCGGTTTTAGCTGTCCAAATAAAGGAGTTTTACAGTAAAAACCCATATTTGAACAATCAGTTGTATGGGGGCAATAAACAGGTTATAGTGACCCGATCTTTTTTAATTTTACTGTAAACTTTCTGTTGATAATGAGTGAAAATAGTGCGAAATTTCATGTTTCTAGCTGCATAGATGGAGTAGTTATAACAAAAAATCGCATATCTGAACAATCAGTTGTATGGGAGCTATATGTAAAAGTGACCCGATCTTTGTTATTTTCACTGTAAGTATTCTGTTAATAATGAGTGAAAACAGTGCGAATTTTAATGTTCGTAGCTGCATAAATGAAGAAGTTATGGCAAAAAATTTCATATCTGAACAATCAGTTGTATGGTGGATATAGGTTGTAGCGACCCGATCTTCGCCATTTTCACTGAAAGTATTCTTTTGATAATAAGTGACAACAGTGCATGTGTCTAACTACTTAAATGGAGGAGTTATAACGAAAAATCTTATATCTGGACAATCAGTTGTATGAGAGCTATAGGTTATAATGACCCGATCTTTGTAATTTTTAATCTAAGTTTTCTGTTGATAATGGGTGGAAGTATTGCAAAATTTCATATTCCTAGCTGCATAAATGGAGAAGTTATAACGAAAAATCTCATATCTGAACAATCAGTTGTATGGGAGCTATATGTTATAGTGGTCCGATTATTCCAGTTCCGACAAATGATTAATACATTATAAAAATACACCCACCTACCAAATTTGATCCGGATATCTCGAAAACTGAGAGACTAGATTGCATACAAACAGACGGACAGACAGACAGACAGACAGACAGAAAGACGGACAGACGGACATGGCTAAATCGACTCAGCTCACCGTTCTGATCATTTAAATATACATTTTAATGGGTCTATCTCTTCTTACTTACTTACAAACATCGGACCAAAGTTATAATACCATTTCATGCTCATGAAAGGTATAAAAAAATAAGTACGCTCCAAAAAGGTCACTAACCCTTTGTATAACACTGTAAGACAAATGGTAGGGGTCAGTGATCGGTAACGGTTCAAACTACTGGGGAAAGTTATATCGGTAAAAAAGAAGTTATACGTGTCCCGGCGTTTCGCTGGGTCACGTCTAGGAATCGAGATATATATATAACTATCATATAGGGGAAATTGTCACCTTTGGTGGTCTTTTTTTGACATAACTCGAGAACCACTAATCCGATTTTGCTCAAACAAATTTAAAAAAATTAAAAATTACAATTCCTTTAATCTGTTCATATAACGTTTTTCTATATAATCAACAGTTTTAAAAAAATTTAATATCTTAGGCAAAAAATATTTTTTTTCTTCATACATTTATTTTTACCGGCATTACTGTAGTGATCCCCTAGTATCAGTGGCGGAACCAGCGCGGGATTTTGGGGGTTAAACTACGTGTCAGCCAGTGGCGGGCCCACGGGGCCCATAGACGCCTTATTATACATACATATGCGCCACATTAAAACACCCCCCGTGGGTCCGCCACTGACTGGCACGTAGTTTAACCCCCAAACGCCCCGACGCATCAACTATTTATACATCGAGTGAAAAATTTTCGATGCATCGATGCGAAACATCGATATTTTCGATGCATCGATGTTATTTCGGCATCCCTAAGTTGAACCATTCTGCTAACTACATAGGCAACATTAATTTGAATGATTCATTTTGTTTTGTATATCGTGTTTCGTTTCGGCAAAGAACGTAAATCTATAAGAGGAGACAACACGTTATAATTGTAGCGAGTGTGAACATCAGGATCGTGCCTTCTCTTTTCATCCAATCACAAAACGTATTTGGGCAAAAGAGAAAGCACGCTCCTGATGTTTCCACTCGTTACAATTATAACGTGTTGTCTCTTATAGATTTACGTTCTTTGGTTTCGATTTTGTTCAGGATGAGTACCTTTACCACAATCTAAGCCATGCAAGTTAGCAAAAGAACAAACGTATCGTGTATTATTAGCGTTCGAGAACATTATAAGAAAAGGAACACAAACTTTTCGTACTTGTTGTGGCAATGGGTACGTTCGGTTTGTTTTCGTACTCTGTTTTCCAGTTCAGTCAGCAATTGGGTTGCGCATGTAATTACCTAATCGGCCGCAATTAAGTTGGTGTAGTGCACCTCCATATAATATCATGTATTTCAAGCGAGGTCAACTAAATCGGCGCCCGAAAAAGTATGTAGTGTCCGAGGGCTCTATACGACATTCACAGAGAGTCCGTCACCACTTTCAGTGAATCTCGCCTCATTAGTGCCATTATTGGAGCTCAGTCAGATATCAATATCAGACAGCGAAATCCAGCTGCCACGAAAGATCCGCATTACTCTGGCTCAGTTAAGGTCTGAATACTGCAGTCGTCTGAACTAATATATATCCAGACTCGACTCCGACATACCAAACACATGTACGGCTTGTGGATATTCCACCACCGCTTCATCTGCCCACTTAAGCCCACTCAGCTAACACCCTCTCTAGAAACAGCACGTTACCATTAGTTGAGCTTGACGACATCGAAAGGATGGACTATCCGATTCTAGGCAGGACTAAGCAGCCGTTACAATAACAGCAACAAACGTATGTATACATACTAAATCTGTACTCAATAAAAAGAATGAATATTTTATAAGAGCCTTTGGTACTATGAATAGAGGTTCTTGAAAGAAAACAATCTATACAAAACAAGTAATTGTTATAAAAAAAAACAACCGACCTCAATGCTTATATAAAAATTTAGGAGTACCGTTAGTTTCTTCGTGATCCAATGATCGGAAACAAACCAAATTAGATGCGACCACTGCTGAGATCTGTAATAATATACATCACTAAGTATTAAGTCCCTTATATAAAGGTAACCTTCCCAACAAACACCAACATCATTATCCAACTCATCTCTTTTAATATACAAGAATATGCAAGTGCAGCTTTGA